CTGGGGGGGGGGGGGGGAGGGAAATCAGACATGAAGTGTCCTGTTCTCGCTCGGTGATATAACACGAAATACGCCTGGGGAGGCTGGCAGCGCGGGGCTGAAGGTGTTATGCATACCTGTCTAAGTTGTTTCTCTGTATAAGGGTGAACTCTTCTCTTTTCTGTTGGAAAGAAAGGTAGAAACAATCTATTTTAGGTTGAGGGGGGAAATGGTGGTAAGACACATGCAGAAGATATTCTAGTCAGAAGTGTTGTCCCAGATAACACATAGATGGTGGTGGGGCACAGCTGTCCTGCTCCCGCGATCTAAGGGGAGCTGGGAACCCGCGCTGGTCACTGCGGGTGAGAAGTGGTCCAGACCTTTGGGAACCTACTAGAAAAGGAGGCTCTGGTACCAAGAGAGGAGTTTCCTAACCTGTTTTTCCTGAGGATCCTTTGGTTACCGTCTTCGTTAATGAGGCTTCCTGAGGAGACAAAAACACCCAACTCAATTTGGGACGCTTGCACGTAAGAGAAGATGAAACAGCGGTAAATACTGTAACACGAACAAAGCAAACTGTGTCCTGTGCTGCGTACTTTGCACAGCAGAGACTGCAGGGTGAATAAATTTCCAGTCTACAAGTTTCTTGGGCTGTTTTTGCCAGCTGTTCAAAAATCTGGGTTGTTAGAGCAATATTGTTATTTGTTCTTGGGCCATCTTTGGCTTGACTGCATCACGCATAGTGTCCAGAGCACAAATGGGTCCTTGCTGTCACTGTCTTAGAAATATTCCTAGCCCAGGCCCTCAGCCTGTTTAAAATTTGATGTACTCTCCACCTTCATCAAAAGCATTAATTTGTTGGGTGGAAGAGGCAGCGGCTGTAACCTCTGCAGAGCACTGGCAGAGTGGGAGTGTGGTGTGTGTGCACCGGGATGCTACACCTGGTTGTTCATCTCTGGGAACAACCTTCCTAAACTGAAGAAGAGTCCTCACCTTGCTGTGAGCTGGGTCCAGGCCTTTGGAAAGCCGAATTTTTCTCAGTAATTCCCGTACTGGCATCTTTACTCTCACACCCATGTAGCGCTTCTGAGGGGGATCAGAGCTAAGTCCAGAGTCTGGAAAAATCACAACATGATGCTTAAGGAAACATAATTCTCTGAGCTGTTATAGAATAGTGGGAGGATGAGGTCACCCTGAGAGATGGCCTGTGATTCTGGTGTTCATCATCAGTTGTGGGAAATTTCCACATCGCTGTAGATGTTTCTTAGCTCTCCCTACTTCCAGCTTAACAATTAATTTCTCAGGCTACAACAGACTGTGGTGCCTCACAAAGGGATTTTTTTTTCTTAAAAAGAAATGAAACAGAAGCAAAACCTTAAAGCTGGCTTTGGGATCTTCAGTCTGAGGGCATAAGCAGAGAGCTGAGTTAACCTGCAAATCAAATTTTAGGGTGCGGGGATGGTTGGAGTTTTGAGTTAAGGAAGCTGGAAAGAAGGCAATAGGGGCAGGGTAGCAATGCAGAAGGAAATTTGGATGGATGGTTGGGAAAAAAAGAATGAAAATAAGTTGGATGTTTCTGATTTAGAGCTTTCAGTGGAGAAGAAATAAGCATATTCTCTTGAGACTTGGCCTCTGACAGTTTTTCTTGGTGCCCTTCAGCTCGGGGTGCCATACTGACTTAGAGCACATGATCGTTTTGGGGGAGTATGTCATCACTGGTTTAGATTACTGCCCCTCTTAGTCATGTTCTAGATTTCATCTCTTGCAGTAAATCTGTCTTTGCAGTTTCCTGTCCTGTGGTTTGTCATGTTGGTATTGGTGGAAAAAAATAAGGAACAGAATTGTTTCAGAAACGAGATAGTGATGCTGTGTCCGATGTCTTTCCATGTCTGATGTCTTTCTCCAATGGCTCTTGGTGTGTTTGGAAGTCAATGTGGTGTGATTCAGAGGGAAGCAATGATATTTTTTTCTGTAGTGAAATGAAATAGTTATTTGAGAATACGTATATAGTTGTCCAAACAAGCTTGTCTTCGTCAAAACAAGCTGCTCTGTAATTGTTTGTGTTAGGTCTCCTTGCATCTTGTACTTGAATCCCCAAACTTGAAAGGCTGGCCCGGATTAGGGGTTTAAATGCATTGCTTTGGAAATACCATTTATGTAACACTGTGCCCCCCCCCTCCCCGCCCCCAGCCTTGAGAATTATCATCTTCGTATAGGATGCGTTCAGCAACAGCTACAGGCATTACAAAACAACAGCTTTTGTTGCATTACTGCGGCGTCTTCCCATTTGGCTAGCACACAAAATACACCGTGTAGAGGGCCACCGTTCCAAAGGAGCCCGAGTGTTGGGTCAGAATGTGGGCTACTGAGAATAAGGAGTCATCCAGCAGCAATACTGGGGAGAAGCTTCTCTTCCTAGCACAGCTGGTGGCATGAGGAATGAAAACAGCATTTGGGATTAAAACACCCTTATGATCAAACAACACGGCAGCCTGTGGTGAAAAAGGCGTCTTCAGCTTGGGGAAGCATTTCCCATTACAGGAGCTGTCAGCGTTAGGTAAAACATGAGGCGTCGGTCCCAATAGTCCTCCTGGAGCAACGCCTGTGTGTGCTCCCCGGGAGCTGCCGGGCGGGAGGAGAAATGGAGGAGCTCAACGCGCGGGAGCGCTGCGCCCCCCAGGCTGGGGATGTCTCCAAGTAGGCAATATTGGCATGGAAACCAGCCACACAAGATGTGGTTTCTCGTTGCCTGATGTTGTTTCTCTTCCCCGCTTCAGGCGGTGAGGGACTGACACCCCTTCAGCGGGAGGATGTTGAATCCTGAGTGGCAAATAGTGTATTTTGAAGATATATTGAATTGCCATTTTGTGCTAAGATTTCTGGCAATGCTGAATGTTTAACCTCTTGCTGAAGAACTAAAACATTGGGACCTGGAAAAGCATCGTTTATTTCTCAGGCTGCTCTAGAAACGGGGCAGATTCCTTTTTTTTTTTTTTTTTAGACTGGTGTTTTGATGATGAATTATTTACTCTTCGTAGAGCATTTTAAAGGCCTCTCTGAAAAGCTTTTTAAAAAAACAATGTTGCTCATATATTATTATCTTTCAAGCTATTTTACAATAAAAATGTTATATGATGGATCAGATTACATGCCCAGATCTATCCTTGAAATGGAAGAACTTGGCAAAGGCAACGATTCCCCAAACACACTTTGACGTCACGTTGTAACGTTAATAACTCAGAAGGTCAAATCTATTTGCTGTTATATTCAGAACCAAACTTGCAATTCAGAGTGTAAAACGAGCAGCACAATGCTAGAGAGAGACAGAAATGATAGAACGCTGAGCATCCCTTACAAAATGGAGCAATTTCTGGCTTCAGCAGCAGACCCCAGCAAAATAAAACCGAAACAGGAGTAGAAGTGTCCCGTCCATCTTCAGCGTTATTGCCACAGAGGCTCAGTAAGTGCTGCTGTTGGCACAGCTCCCTCTGAGCACAAAAGGAGTTGCAGGTCGCTGTACTTTATCGCTTTGTAAAAGCAGCAAAAGAGCGTTGCATAAAGTAGAAAATGCGAATAAAGGTTTGAACTTACCGGTGGGAGCGGACATCTCTCGAGGTTTGCGTGAAGGAGGGTGGATCTTGGGACTTGCAACGTTGAATTCAGTTAATCCAGAGTCTGGCAACGATGGGCTCTGTTGAAAATAGCTTTTGGGACTGGCAGTTTCTCCAGGGAGGGGAGATCCCTGGCTTGGACTATAGCCACAGGTTTCATTTTCACTGTTTTGATTGACCAGGAGTTCAGGACTCATGCAGGCTGTTTGCAACATCACCGATGTGTGTGTGTGTGTGTGTGTGTGTGCAGAAAAAGATGAAAAAGAAGGAGGGAGGAAACAAGCTTCGGCGGTGTTTAAAAAAAAAAAAAAAAATCCAGTTTCACATTGAGAACACGGTAATTGTGTTTAACTCTCCAGTGTAGCCGCTATGAGCTGGGTCCAGCTTCCCTCTTCTTTTTTAGCAGCAAGTTCCAGAGTACAGGCAGCCTGGGAATCCCAGCAGTCCCTGGAAACAGCTTTTGAGAGTTTCTTGGCTGCAGTTCTCCCTTTGCTCTTTATACTCAGGTATGGCTTGAAGGACGTCAGCCTGGGAAGGCTCCACCCTCTTTCCCAACAATCTGCAGCAGATGATGAAGAAATTACTTTTCCTGAGAAGAGATTGAGTACAACCTCAAAAATATTTTTCCTTAAGTATGGAATAGAAAAATTAAACTTTGGTTACTGCAAAGGGCCGGAGTAGGGAGGAGCAGCCTCTGAGTTAGACTGGTTAACAGGATTATGTGAACAAGTAACTAATTCTGAAGTAAATGTTTTGTGAATTCTTTTCTCAAAAAAAAAAAAAAAAGAAAAAAAAAAAAAAAAGTAATTTTTTTCCAAGGCTGTGTAAAAGGAGCTATTGATCACAAAAATAAATAAGTCTTCCCTTAAACACAAAATTTCAGCTCAGGAAAGACATCCACAATCTGCACAGCTTTGAGCCTGTGAAGAGAGAAGTGCTCCATTCAGGATAATATTCTGTTTGTGTGGGGGTTTGTTGTTCTGTTTTTTTTTTTAGCAAGGAAGGAATCTTAAATGTTGTGACAGGCGCAACTATAATATTAAAACTCAGTCGCATTAAGAATCTGTTTGGATGGGTACTCCTTGTAGGAAGTCTGTTTCCTTGTCAAAATGAGACTTCGGTACCAGCTGCAGGCTGGATCCTCACATCTCTGGGAGATAGAGTTCTCCTTGTGGGCTACGTCATTTCAACTTAATAATCAAATATTTCTCCCAAATAGTCTGAAAAAAAAGGTGACAATGCTCATCAAATGCGGCAGCTGCCTTAGCTGTGCCTTGGGAAGCATTCCAGCTTGACTCCCAGGCTGTGTTATCTTGTCCATCAGACTGAGCAGGAAGCAGCCAGACTTTCGGAAGCAAGTTAAGAGCGATGTTCCATCTGTGTCTGGGTTTAAACTGGGGAGTGACTCCTCGCTATGGACCTGCACAGTGCTCTGCCTCCTGCTTCCTCTGCACTGAGCGGAGTAACCCCGGTCTCAGGGATATCGAAAGAATTCTTTAGGTATCGATCAGAGCTGGGAGATGTGATGCTTGTGGAACAAGCGTAGAGCGAGGAACCGCTCCGTACGGAGGCAGCACTGGGAAGGCTGTTACCGGGCTCCCCACCCCACAGATTTTACGGTCGAGTGATGTTCCTGCGTTTGGATCTGAAAAACACGAATGCGCGGCGGGGAGGCGTGGCTGATGAGCCACGTGTCTGCATGGCTGCCCAGGACTTCAGCTAGCGAGGGCAAGGCAGCGCTCTCTTACTCCTGCGAAATCCCTAGGGCTCCACAGGTGATGGTCTGGGCTGAAGGACAAGTGATGAGCCAATATTCCCGCGTCCTCCTTAGTGGGCTGTAACCAGTTTGCTCAAGGGAAGCGACTTGTTAAAGGATATTTCAGAAGTTAAAAGGATATTTACCTTTCTGACACGGAGATAGCCACACAGAGTGTCTGTTTTGGACTAAGGACACGTTCTGCTCTGCTTTGGTAAATATTTTCCTCCTGTTTCACCCACTTTGCCGTGTTGATTGTATGAGTCTCGGGCGAGCTGCAGCCAGGGTCCGGTTCCTCAGTGACACGGAACAGCGTGTTATTCTGTAAAGGGTATTGTTCAAATCGGTAGGATGAGGCATCATTTAAGGAACTCCTCAACACTTGTATAGGTGGGAGAATTTGGCCCACTGCAGACAGGAAATTGCCGTGGTGAATCACTGCATTTATTGGGCAGTAAATCACACTGGAGATTTCTCATCTTTCTGTTCTCTTCCATACTCCAGCCCATAAGTTGAATGCTTTTCACTGCTTGTTTATAACAGGCGATTACATTCACGGCGAAAGCAGGAACCACCCTGGAAAGGACCGAAATGCATCCCTGTAGCGATGGGGAGGGAAGCAGGTTTCCAAACTAGAACCAAAAAAACTTGGAATGTGGCCACTACACGAAACGGTCTCCAAGGCTTTGGATTTGCTTAACGGGGAATCGTGTGGTTCTCCTGATTCCAACTTCAATAGCTACCTGATACTTGAAGCGAATACTTCGTTGCTCTAAATTTAAATAGCTCTTAGGAGCCTTGTTCTGTAAATGAGTACCACTGGAAACGAGCTGTCCGTTTACAGCTTTACCTCTGTCTTTCCGATAACTCTTTTAGATTTGGACCCTCTAATGACGCTCCATCGTGTGCTCCTGTATACGTCGTGGCAAGGCAGATTTCAGCATGTGCAGGCAGCAGAGAGATGGCAAACGTGGCCCTCTAGGATCCGTAGATACTGCTTCAGTTGGTGTCTCGTGGTTCTTACAGCTGTGGACAGAACGATTTAGCTTATTATCCAGTGAAACCTGTGCTGGGAAAAGTGTTTTCTACCCAGGGGCGTAGAATATTTTCATGATCTTCCACCATTTTAGTGGTTTCTGCCTTTTAACCTACCCTGTACTGCCCGGTCTAAGAAAGGGAGGACACTTCAAGTACTGAGGGTGTAAGAAGTGAGGACACGTGTGAACGTTGGGGTGAAGGTCTTCAGCAACAGTTTTCTGGGGAAGGGGATGAAGTCAAAAGTCAAACCAGAGGTTTAGTGGCAAACAGAGCTGTCTGAGCCTTTAGGAAGGACTGGTTTGTACTTCTTGTCTTCTCATACTCCCCTGTAGGAAAAATGGCATGCTAGATCTTTGGGGGATATTTTTTTTCCTTTTTTTTAGGTGTACTGATGTAATTACTCATACACTGATTTAGGTGTTCTGATTACTGCTGTAATATTTGCAGCAAGAATGGCCATCGCTATCTGGAAGTTCTTAGTGGATAACTGTAAATGAAAGCAATACCTTCCCCAAGACGGGCAGCTCTGCAAATCCCTCTCCATGTAAACTTTCAGGTTATGCAGCCAGTGGGTAGAGCTCCTTTTACATCTTTGGATGAAGGATGAATGCTCTCTAGCTTCCTTCATCCCTTGTTGCTACATGTTTCTTCAGCGCACACACCCACTTTAACGGCATTTGCTGGGCTAGGTGTTTGTCTGTCTTTCCCCGGAGATGCTGTTGTTTTGCCAACTGTTAACTCACCTGGCTATGAAATCCTTTGTTGCTAAGCTTTCCTTTGTTAATATTCTTTTTCACATACGTAGGGATGAGGAGATGGCAGGCTTAATTTGCACTAAGGTAGAAAGTCGGCGTAAGGCTTTCCCCTGCACATGCTTTCAGTGTCTGCTTGGAATACAAATAAAATATCAACTGTTATGCATATAACTCTCTTAAACATTGTACTACGTAAATAGGTCTTGAACGAAATGGATGGCTACTGATGGAAAAGGCGCTCGCTGAGTAATGAAGCTGTATAAAATTCAGAGCTAGTGCAGAACACACGTGAAATTTCCCATCTCCTGGGTGTCTCTCCTGGGAAGCAAGTGCTCTGTCGCAGAGGTTCCCTTTGCCTCAGCGGAAAGCTGGAATGATGCTGTGCTTCGAATAGCTTGCACCCATGCTGGCAGCGAAATGGGGTTGTGACATTGCTATCAAGTTGGTCTCATGTTCATAGTAAACAGGAATATCCAATCAGCTGTGCCATTGGGTAACTGCCTCTGGGATGTCTGCTGACAGCGGCCTGTACACGATGCTCACAAAGAAACAAACTGTAATGACAGATGCCGGTGCTGAGCAAGCAAACCTGAGCAGCTCTTAGTCATTTCATGAAATATGAACTCTGCTTACCCCTTGCTGCAGTACAAAACTGTGTTGCAAGTCATTCAGGTCTCCTAAGAACGCCTGTTCCGGTAGGCGATGTCCTGCTTCCCTATGGCTTTGAGATCCTTCGATCTGTTGGGTGAAAGGTGACGTATTTTTGCATAGCGGAGATGATTTTCTGTCGGTAGCCATCCATGCTCTGCTTTCCCTTTAGATGACAGAAACAGGACATGGGCAAGGTCAGCTTTCATACGTTGTGCCTCCTGAATGCATTCTGTGTTTCCCTAGGGATGCTGTGTGATGTCATCTCATCTTTGCTTTCCCTCATCATCACCATCTCTGCTGAGCAGGGAGGGTATGAGGGTTAGATCTGGGCTTGTTTGCTCGGATCTAACAGAGCTTAGCTCTGCCCTGAAGAAGTCACGCTACCTGCTTTGTACAGACATTGACTTTTTATTTTCAATTTCCGAGAGTTGTCTGCTACTGACTCATCTTTAAGGGTGCTCCGTGGTTACTTCTAAATGTTTCCCTTGGATTCAGAGCACCCTAGTGATGACAGAAATGGCATGTTCAGACTATTTTTACCTACCCGAAATACCTTTTATTCAACTGTGGTGAAATTTCTCCCGTGTCAGAGCGCTGGTTTGACTCGGGCCCCACAGATATGAACCAAGAAAATTTTCAGGCTGTTTGCACCTCCTCAGACCATGAGAAGTAAGGCTTGGTTCTCCTGGGTGACACTTAGCCTCTTGTACGCCGTTGCACGTAGCGGTCAGATGCAGTTAATTGTTGACAACGTTCAGTTCTCTTCTAAACTGTGAGGTCAGGTCTTGAAGAATGGCGGGCTATCACGGGTGAAAAAAAAATTCCGATCTGCCCATTTTCCATCCCTTGGGGCATCTGGAGATGGGATTTGGTTTCTTTTTAGTACAGCTCGGAGAAGTATCGGTCTCCGTGCAAAAGTACGTAGCTGTGTGCTCACTTTTTCTTTCGTTCCTAGAAAAGACAATTAAGGAGAGAAACTCTGAGCTGCTATAAAGTGGTTCCTGATCAGAACTGT